CAAACGTCCGATATGTACGGTGCATAATGATGCGGATAGAACCTTAACATTAATGTAACATTAATAATACCATTACAATATTAGTCCTATTCAAAACACGAAGCATAATAATCACCAACCAATTCCAACTGCAACAACCGTGATAGTAATAATGCAGATTCCACTGCAGTGCACGTATGTAGCCTTCGGCCTGTTCTCTCAACTCTTCCTTGCTGATATTCTCGTATTTCAATTTATCTGTGTAATAGTCACGTTTGTGGTTCTTGAATGCTCGATTCACTGTGTGTGTCCACGCGATCTGAATCATATTACAACCAATCAACAACACAATCTTACTGCTCAAATTGAAATTTGACCAGTATCATACCGAAAACAACACAATCAACACTTTCATCTATCCGCAACATTCTTCACTTGACATGTAAATTATATTCGGACAGTTAAATCTCAAATCTCAATGGAACTTTGTTAAATCTCTTTCCAAAGTGAAATTAATTCCTATAGCATATCACATTCTCAATCGTATCCTTTCATAACGACTTACTTAACTGTAGCATTTCAAATTGCATTATCTTATCACTGAACATAAACACTCTATAATAAAATGTCACTAATCAAATTTCACAAATGCTCTTAGCACTCAGATTTCCAAATCAACAAATCTCCAACCTCAAAATCATTCTCGTAATCATCTTCATCCAACACTCCCATTGCAAAATTGTCCTCATCTGACGGTGGCAAACCATCTGAAATACGACCATGCATTAACACAACATCAGTCTCACTCTAAAATCAATTCCAGTCGACTTTTCATTTCATTTGATTCATATTTTCAACTACTCGAAACTATATCAATCCATCAATTAATCACCTCATAAATCAAGCCCTAACCATTCAACAAACACTCCTCATCTATTTGAATTTCAATCTATCCCCCCCTCCCCCTTCCATTATGTATCAATCCCTCGTTTTCCTTCTCTTTCAATAAACAACACCACTACTTAACCACCAACACAAAACCAATTCCTCTTCAAACAATTCACCAAATTCACTAAATTTCATCCAATACCAACAATTTTCATTTCATATAAATAATATTACTAATGTTCCAGTCATTCAGTTGTTCTATTTTTACGAAATCGAAACAAAACAAAATTACACACTCACCAGACAGCAACTCGCAAGCTGAAGGCAGTTCGAATTTGGTCTCTGCCTCTCGTGATTTCGCCTCATCCGAGGACCCGTCGTCGCCCTCAGAATCCGAATCGAACGCACCTTTCGCCTTCGATTGCCCTTTCACTGCTTCCTGCATCTGCGCATCTGCAGTCTCCTCTTCATCCATCTCCATATCCGAATCCGAATATGGATGCAATTCCAAGTCTTCTTCCTCCTCAAAATTCCACAAAAATTTTCACTTCATCATTAAACAACCTCTAAATCAACACAACAAAACCATTACTATTGTTTGTTCAAACCTCGATTACATGACTAATTTTCGACTGAATTCAATAATCATCAATACTTTCTCAGTAATTTTTCATTGACTCAATATTATTCTCAATGATTTCACTTTAACTTTAATTTCTTCCAATTCACTTTAAGTGAATTCATAATTTGTATTCTTTTTTTGTGTTACAAAAAACAAAACCATCACCTCAGCACAACCCACAAAACAGATCAACTGTCAACTATAATCATCAACAACTACAATCGTCAACTAACATCGTCCCCATTTGGTATCTTTTTGCGTATCGATTTGGATTTGTGTCCATCAACACCTCTCGAAGACGACCCCCCACCACCACCCATCGCCATCGACGTTTCGTTTCGTTTCGATGCCAAATAATTCTCATCGTCCATTATTTGCACAAAACTTTGTCGATCAATTTTTGAGAACACTTTCAAAAATTTCTCAAAACGTTGCAAATTCAATATTCCATTTTCATTCAAATAACCTTCAATTGAACCCATCTTTATTACACTTATATTCGCATCGTACCATTCCAAAAAGACAAAATATTTTTTCTTTTTTTTCGTAAACAAAATCACAAGCTAAAATCAAAAACCAATTCTTT